AAATAGAGTCTGAGGAGAATATTGCTATCTCAGAAAGAAGTCACACTCGATGCTTGTCAGTTTTCTACCAGTGTGTCCTGCGCTGAAGTGCAGGTGTATTGCAGTTGTAGACTATGATGAGCAATGTGTTGCCCTAAAAAAAAAGGAGTAAAAGACAGCAGAGTTGCCCATAGGATGTCTGCTAGTCAGGATCAGTGTTGCCCAAAGGATGTCTGCTAGTCAGGATCAAAGTTGAATCCATGGACACCTCAATCCCTTCACCCTGTGGAATATTTTTGAATGGGGAGGTGCAATCAATTTTGATATAGCATGAATAAACGAAGTTTTGCAGTACTTCCTGATAATTTTTTTTTTTTTTTGTATCCCACCCACCTTCTGAGCAGTAGGGCCCAATAATGTAAAAAGCATGAAATACATTTCTGCCGCCAGCATGAGAGCACAGCAATATGTTGAACGCAGTACAGAATTTTAGATGTGATCGTTCTGACCTTTTATATTGCTGTGAATGCCCCAAGTTCTTCTTTGCCAACACATTATAAAATATTGACAGCAACACTTTGCATCTCTTTCCTTCTAATTGCCATATATCTCAACTGTGAAACATCTGTCTTCCTATTATTGAAGAGTTGTTTTTCATTACATATATAGCACCAACCTGCTTGTCCTTGTCAATGGCTGCCAACACTGCATGCAGATTAATGTCCGACAGTTTGGCATTTCCACCTTGCTTATTTCTCCAGAAATCTGTTGATTGAAACAGTTGTTCTTTTCTGCAGAGCACCATGATCTTGCTTTGGACATGTCCAGGTGTTTGAAGTGTCTGTTATTCAAAAGGCTTATGTAGACTTTAGTATTCCCTTTACTTACAGATCAAACATATTTTGGGGAAAGAGAATACATCTATTTGAAAGAAAAAAAAAAATAAAATTTCCTCCAGTGAAAAGAATTTAGTGTTTAAAGCAGAATTAAACCCTCCTACCCTTTGCAGCCAAGGAAGCCGCCTTCTTAGCATCCGTTTGAACTTCAACTGCATGTGATCAGTTATGACACCAGCCATTTGATGGTTTAACAGCTTGGTTGAGAGCACAAGCAAGTTTAACAGCATTCCCAGCATCCTGGAAATTTAACTTTTTTTTTTTTTTTTTTTAAACTTATTAGGTTTAGTTGCGCTTTAAGTGAAATTTAGAAAGTAAACAGAAATGCAAGCAGTGCATACAGCTTTACACTATATTCCCATTATTTTATTACTTTTTTTGCAGAAATTTGTAATCATAAAATTGTGTGGTTTTACTAATATAAGGGTTTAAACATTATTTTCTATCAAAGACGTTATTATTATACAGGATTTATATAGCGCCAACAGTTTGCTCAGCGCTTTACATTATAGTGGGAGACAATACAGTAACAATACAGTTCAATACAAGAGGGATTTGAGGGCCCTGCTCCTTGGAGCTTACAATACACTGACTGAACTCTGCTAGAACTACATTTGTAGAATCATATTTCCAGTATAGATGGTCTGGATGAAAAAGAAAAAAAAAAAAAGACACAAGTCCTTCCAGTTTAACCAATAGTAGGGGAAAAAAATGATATACAATTGTGTTAATACACAATCCTAAACCCACAGTTGATCCAGCAGAAGCAGAAAAACCCCGAAGCATGATCCAATTTGCTCCAGCAGGGGAAAAAAATTCCTTCCCGGTTCCCCCAACAGGCAATCAGATATACCCTGGATCAGTCTTAGATGCATGTAAAAACTATGCTGCTCCACTGTCTTTACCAGTGGCAGTAATAACTGCCTTCTCCAACACGAAGCAGTTTCTGCAAAGTTAGAGAGAAGGATGTAGTAAGAAAGTGATGTTCTTAACCAAGTATCTCAGGAAGTATAATGTTACTGTGGGTGGTACCAGATTGTGTCCCCTCTTGCCACAAGAAAAATTCCACAGCTATAGTGGTAGAAAACAAGAATGAAGCAGATTGTGGAGGACAGTAGACAGCATGGTTCAAAGAGTGGTTTTTTAATCATTATTGATATGCCAATCTTCACATCCAATATGGCCCTAGTATGCAGCTTTCAACCCCTAAATAATAGTTTCTTTATTCTCACTGTTGAATCATTTTTTCAGAGTTTATTCAGGAACACAAGAAACACAGGATTAAATTGTTACCTACAGGAGAAACGAATGTTAGGCACAACAAAAACTGAAGGTCAGCTTTGCTTGAGGCTATGACTTGTCCCACCTCACCCCTGCTCTGCTGTATACAATAAAAAAAAAAGGGAAGGTGCTGTGTTCCTCAGTGGACTCTGATAAAAAGATTTAATCACGGGTTCAAAAATACTTTTCCCTATCATCCATTGAGGGACACAGTTAGTTAGTGAAAAACCTAGGGATGTCCAATAGCAGTCCAAACTGAGGGGCAGGCACAGCCAACAAAACAAGCAAAGCAGCCCAATATAAAATATCTGAAAGGAGACCAGGGATATTAAAACCTGCTAGCAAGACCATTTGACCAGGGAGGCAGACACATGAACCTCATACAACTTAAAAGTATGTAGAGAAGACTAGGTGGTAGCTTTACAAAACTGTGACACCAAGCCCTGGTGATGAAAAGTCTAAAAGGACACTATACCTTAATTGAGTGAGATTTCATGGTAATAAAAATACCCTTATATATTAAAACGTATAGGCCTGGACAATAACATATCAAAGCCCCTTAAAATAGTGGATCTGGAAGCAGAACCATATGCAAGACCATCTGGAAGGAATAAAAAAGGGATTCAGTCTGGCTAAAAGAAGCCGTAGCAGAAAAAGTAAACCTCATAGTACTCCTGCAATAGATAGCAATGTCACTGGGGTTAACCAAAGCCAAACACAGGGAGGGTAATATCTTCACATATGTAAAAGGAAAGGACCAGCGTAGGCAAAACACAGGTCCCTGGTCCAAAAACAACTTGGTCCTGATATAAAATCAAGTGCAACTCCCTACAATACAATGTTGATAATTTAGTAATCCTGCTGCCATAAGTGATGGCCACCTAAAGGAAACATTCCAAATAGAGGTCTTTGTAACACCGAGAATATGAGAATTAAAACCCATAGTTGGCCTGGGGGATTGATCTTCAAGAGAACAAATTTGGCCATGGAGCATTGGCTAACAAAAGAACAAGGTCAGTGTACCACACTGTCCAAGGCCAATCCAAAGCTATGAAAAGGACTAGAATGCCCTGGCCTCGATCTTCCAAAAAAGATGAGATAAAATTATCCGTGAAGTAAATGCATACATTAGGGTTTATGGATCCCATGGTACCAGACCAGGGCATCTGTTTCAGCCATCAGATCCCAGGTCCTGGAAACAAACCTATCCAATTTCATGTTGAACCAAGATGCACATCTGGTGTCTCCCAATGCAGACACATGTCCTGAGAAACATCCAGATGGATAAACTATATTCCTTGTGGTCTAGATGTCTGCTGAGAAAATCTGCCTTCAAACACTTCACCCTTGTAATGTCTACCATGGAAATCATTGGAACATGAAACTCAGGAAAGTGCAGACTGTCAGAGCCAAAACCCTCCTAGTAGTCCCAATGCTAGATGTAAGCCCACAGCTTTGACATTGTCTGATAAAACCCAGACCAGATGACCAGTCAGAATGGAAGGTTCAGTGATAGAACACCATATGAATTGCTTGTAACCTCGGGTGTTCATTGGAAGCTTTGATTTGCTCCTGTGATGGTGAAGGTGAACAGTAACAACTAGGCATTTCTTAGCAATATCCTAGGAGTTTTCCAGTCGGGCTTCATGTGGTATTTAAATAAATGGTCTACACCTATAGCAAGGGCATCATTCCAACTTGATCAAAGCTGCATAGCTTGCTTTTATCTGAAGACATTCCTTATCTGCATAGGCAGCTTTTTTGGTAATTGTCTTTAAAAAGACTGGTTAAGGCTTTGATTAGGCAAAACACAGGTGGGTCGACTACAGGAGGAGCAAACTAAATTTATTCACAAAGGGATAGAATGCCATGAACTGTTTAGAAGAATTGTCTGGGCAATTTTAATATTTAGAGATAAAATTACTGACCTGGGAATAATGAGGAAACACCTTGGTAGAAATAGAAAGTTTAGGTTGATGAGAACCAAACCCAGGCACAATGGCAAGAGAAGAGATAGTGGAACTTGCTCATTTTAAAGTAGAATGCACAGCTGAAATTAGAAAAGAAAGTTTTCCTCTGTTGATGAAACAACTGTTGACTGAAATACAGTCAGCAGAGTCTCCTCCTCTCAGGAAGGGATGGACTCAGCATCCGAGTCCTCTGGATAATCCCCAACAGATAATATGCCTCTCTGCATCAAATACCATGGAAAAGGTTTTGGATGGCATTTTAAAACCCCTGTAAAACAGGGTAAGCCACAAGGCAGAACACGTGAGACAAAGGAGTTCTTAAAGTGATTGTCAAGGGATTTATAAAAAATAACAAACATGGTAAAACTTACCTGCTCTGTTGAACAGTTTTGCACAAAGCATCCCCGATCCTCCTATTCTGGAGTCTCCCGTCAGCACTGCTGGTCCCCCCCCCCCCCCCCCGCTGAGGAGTGATCCCATAGCAAGGAGCTTGCTATTGCGGCACTCATGTGGGCTTTGAAACACATAGCGCAGCTCAGGCCCCACCCATCTTTCGCTCTTCACAGGTCGTGATTGAGAGCAGCTGCCTCCGTGGTCAATGAGGAGAGAGAAAGACACTGCTCACAGGCAGTGTGTTGGATCGAGATCAGGCTCAACTAAATATAAGGGGGAATGAGGGGGGGGGGGGGTTCAGACAGAAGACATTTTACCTTAATGCAGAAAAAGCTTCTACCTTTACAACCACTTTAACCATCTCCCGCCTGCCATATAGTACAATGACGGGCGCAAGACAGTTCTCTCGTTCTGGGAGGACGTCATATGACGTCCTGCCATTCTAACTGTGCATGCGCGGCTCCGGGAGCGCGGCGATCGGAGGTGCGCTGTGTCCCTCGGACACAGCGGATCACAGATCAACAGAAAGAGCCAAAGATGTCGGCTCGGTCCTGTAATCAGCTGTGTCCAATCACAGCTGATCACATGTAAACAGGGAAATGCCATTTATTGGCATTTCTCTCCTCACGAGCTGTCACGAGCGGAGGAGAAGAGAGCCGGTAATCGGCATTCCTTGGAGGGGACATGTACACAGATCATCAGAGCACTGATGATCAGTGTGCCCTGATGATCTGTGTAGCCCCAGCAGTGCCACCTGTCAGTGTCCATCAGTGTCAGCTGTCAGTGCTCATCCATGCCACCTGCCAGTGCCCATCAGTGCCTACCAGTGCACATCAATGCCACATATCAGTGCCCATCTGAACTGCCTTTCAGTGTCACCTATCAGTGCTGCCAGTGCCGCCTATCAGTGTGCATCAGTGCTGCCTAACAGTGCCAGTCAGTGCCACCTAACAGTGCCACCTATCAGTGCCATATATGAGTACTGCCTTTCATTGCCCATTAGTGATGCCTGTCAATGCCTATTAGTGCCACCTACCAGTGCCTCCTCATCAGTGCCACCTATCAGTGTCCATCAGTGCAGCCTATCAGTGCCCATCACTACAGCCTCATTAGCGCACATCAGTGAAGGAGAAAAATCACCTATTTAAAAAAAATTTTATAACAAAAACTAAGAAAAAACTTTTTCTTTTCAAAATTTTCAGTGGTTATTAGTTTAAGAAAAAATAAAAAACCCAGAGGTGATTAAATACCACCAAAATAAAGCTGTCACAAAAAAATTATAAAAATGTCATATGGGTACAGTGTTGCATGACCGCGCAATTGTTATTCAAAGTGTGACAGCGCTGAAAGCTGGAAATTGGCCTGGGCAGGAAGGGGGTATAAGTGTCCTGTAGGCTAGTGGTTAAAGACAAAAATGACCACTGGCACAAGCGGACCTACCTTAGATCTGAGAAATGCAGAAGGCACAATTCTTGCCTGAGCCAACCACAACCTTGCACATGGTGCCATAAGCCCTGACTAGGATGGATGCCTGCAGTTGCAGAATGACTGCTCTTCCATTAGGAGCCAGATAAAATGACTACCCAATCTCCTCCAGGAATACACACAAATAGCAATATGCAAGCTGAGGCTGCCTCCCTGTAAATGAGAAATACAACTTTCTATGGAGCATGCTCAATTGCCAAATGCACATTAAAGGTATACTATTGTACTTCCATATCCATAGCAGCACATGCATATCTTGCCACAGGGTGTTAAACTACTGAACAGTCCACATTAAGGAAGTCTTAACTATTCTCTAAAAAAGATTTTGTTCCCTTATTCTTGATGAGATAGTTTCCAACCGTAACCTTATAGTTATAGTAGAGTTACAGAGCTAACTAAGGTAGGGTAATAACCACTGTCACTTTTTTTTTTTCCCCCAACCATGTCCCATTGGGGAGATTTCCCTTCAGATCCTGTCCCATAGCCATAACAGGAAGAGAGAGGAAAACCCTCTATAATGAGGGAAATCACCACTAGTATCCCCATTGGAAGATTTTCCCCTATTACTTTTTCTGTTGATAAATCAAAGTTTGAAATTTTCTACCCCTTTCACTTTCAGTGGTAATAGTCACTGGGGCAGATAAAAAGGGTGAACCTCTTTAAGGGGGACAACATCAGCAATAGAAATCTGACTAAAGACAAAAAATGTTTTGGCTGCAGATGCACTTTTATGCTCACCTGTTCCCTGATGGCCTTGGCTTCACAATTCATTTTTGGAAAAACTCAGATAAACTTTTAGTAATCTGTTAGATAGAAAATCTATAATGCTGCATTCACACCTGAGCGTTTTGTAGCTTGAAGCTACGTGCAAACATAAAAAAATAAATTATTCCCTATGGTGCTTTTTCACACCTGAATGCACAAACCTTTGCAGCTCAGAAAAGTGATGGAGCTTCTTTTGTAGCTCAAATCAGGCAGATTGAAGCTTTTTGAGACCCATAGAATTGCATTGATATGTGCAAAACACGCAATATGCCCATTTTGTTACATGTTTTTAAGCGGTTATGTCCACACAGCACCAAATGATGTCTTAGAATATACTGTTCTCTATAGGTTAATACAAAGGCTGAAGCTCAAATGCTGTAACAAAATGTGCAAAAAACACATGAAAAACACGCATAAACGTGAAAGTCAGGTGTGAATGCAGCCTAATAGCAAGTGTCAGGCTATTCTTCAGATGGAAACATGATTTACAGAGCCACTGATACTTATTAAAGCAAACCTTTCCTGTGCAGTTGTTGAAATGCTTCTAAAAAAGTTATTAGGATTCAATACTTTCCAAGTCATTGTGATGGAAAAAGTATGTAAATCAGGAAAGCCAGAAATCCTCATCCACATTCATGTTTTGGGTTAGTGACTAGTATTGAAGCCAGAGGACCATCATGGCAACTGATCGTTTCAGAATAAGCGGTCAGCAATATCTGTCAGGAAACCCTGACTTAAGTTGTTTGTTGCTTTTTAAAATTCAAGCTGCTTTGCATAAAAACTATGAGTAAATATACTGTAGACATTGGTAAAGATTCTCTTTTAGCTCTTTACAATGAAAACAACAACGCATCAGTATTTAGTTGATTTTTATTTAAATTAACAGCATTTTTTAAGTCCAATTTTCTCAGCAGCACCAAAAGAATACTGGTACATTTTATTGCAATAAAGTATACCATCATATACCGTAAACGTACAATCTATGTATCTTATAGTCCAACAAGCCATGAACATATACATTAGGTTATGAAAGGCTAAATTGACTTTTTTAAAAGCAAATAACTGTTCTGGTACCAGTGAGATCATCTCCAACTCTCTCTGGATATTTATGTCTTACATGAAAGAATTAAAGGACACCCAGCTGGCTTGAGATACTCACTGGCAGTTCAGTTGGTGATTAACTATTACGTAAAGAAGATTCAGTAAGGCACTGTTGCATATGTAGCTTCCTCTGGAGGATGCTCAATGACTTGGCCTAACTCTTAAGGATACCCACTAGATGTAGCAAGTGGTAAAACAGTTGACAATAAACTGTCACAGTAGCAATTAAGTGTTAAATCTAATGCTAACCACAATCTCCATAGAAAAAAAGAATTTAAAATCTGACTTGCGGCCGGAAATGCATTTGCTTTGTAGCATTATTAGTCATTCCAGTTTTTAACATCCATTTAGACTTCATCTTCTGTATATATTGCATATCACGACCATGCTGAAGGGTACCACCTGTGTAAGCAACAGTTATAAAATTAATTTACAAAGAGTTACAATATTTTCTAGCGGACTCAAATAAGTCTGATGATAAACACAAAAGAAGCCAGGTCAATCAAAATGATTACAAAATGCAATTTCATATTTTTCAAATGCGAACACGCACACACACGCACGCACACTTCAGGTGCCTACTAAAAGCCACCTTTGCTCTACGCTATAGTCCCAGCACCCATAAGACCCAGGTTGTTCTATACTGTAACCAGCGACCACTTTCTATGGCTCCTGGCTCTGACCCTATCTCTCCTAATTCATCCAATTAATTTTTAATTTTTAGCTAGTGAGGCAATTCAACACTGTGATGAAGAAAGCAGAGGTGGACCACACCCTGTAATACATCAACTAAGGTAAAAAAAAGAAGGGGGTGGATTCTCTACCAGGTTTTTGCTACTCTATTCCCAACAGTAAGATTACTCCTCACTTCCACAGTCCCAGTGACATCCATTTCTGGAGTGCATTCTCCATATAGGAAACTACTCCAACAAGGATACAGAAAGAAAAAAAAAACAAAAAAAACAAATCACACACAGACAGAGGTTCTAAAAGGTCACTCTATCCTAATCTTTTTTTTTTTAAGTTTTGGCTTGAAGGAACCCGTTTAATAAGTTAAGATTTAACAGGCATATGGAGCGATTATGCGAACTACCTTTCAGGATCCCCTACCACCCAAAATGTTTGGGCTTTTTATGATGTAAATAAATCAGGATTTTATATGGTCTCCTTGTGGCCCTCTTCGCCTTCCACACCCAGTCCGTACCAACAGAGACAACCTTTGGACACTACCCTTAGGAGAACTGCCTTAGTAATCACTGCTTAGGACCTGATGGAGAACACCTACTGCTTTTAGAGATCCAGCACCCCACACCTTTCTTCTACTTCCAAAACACTGATCATCAGACAGTGACGATCAGGTTGAAAAATAATCAGAGCACAATCCCAACTGGTCTCTGTTTATTAGGCAGTTACGAAATGTACACCACTAAACATAGAATTATTGAAAACACTTTTTATGGTTACCTATACGGCTTGTTTATGCTGTGTCTCTAAAATGTACACTGGCTTTTTCATCCATTTTGACATACTGACCTGCTGACTTCCACATCACTAAAGGACATAAAAGTGACATAGAGGTCAACAGGAAGAACTGTGGGGGAGCCAGGAAATGGACACTCCTGGAGGCATCAGTTTCTCAGCATACTTTAGGGGTGATTTCTCTGGATCAGAATGGTGTTCATCAGCATGGAGGAGCAAGTAAGGAGATATAGATATATTTTTTTTTTGTACAAGGTGAGCTCACCTGGAGAAACTATTCTATGAATGGCAAGAGACTTGCTTTACTGTCCATTTCAAATGATATGTTTAAATGCGTGATTTAACAGCAACATACATACACTGTATTGATTTTTTTTCAGTTTAGATCACTTTCCATGCTCCTTTCTGTTGGTTGTAAAGTCTACAGAAATGTAAGCAAAGGGTAAAGGCTGGTCCCATTGCTTATGTTGTCAGTGTGCTAAAAACCTACTATTTTATTGCACTTGATGAATGCCATTAGGTTCAGCCAGTTTCCGACTCCTGCTGTTGCAATAAACTTACCAGTCCCTCCAGTCCATCCCAAAGCCTTGTACTGTTGTAAGACACGGCCCACTGCTTTTTGGTTTTTGGATACAACCACAGCTCTGGACAATCCAAACTTTTGTTTGTAGTATCTCATTAATGAGCGATGACCAATCCTAGCACCTATAAACAAAATGAATGTGCTCTGTTTAAAAGAGTAAATGGCTAAAATGTTACAATAACCAGTAGTTAAATGATCTGTTCATTCACATAAACACTGTAATAAACACTTTCTAAACAGTATCTTTAGGCACAAACTTTTTTTTTTTTCTTTTAAGATAGGATGGGGAAAGGTGAGACTCTGTCCCTGGGAACAAATGTCAAAGAGGGAAAAAATTCCCCCCACATTGTAAACTGCTTTCTGCATCTTTGGGTCAGGAAATGAAGGGTACTTTCCCCAATGAAAGAAAAAAAAAAAAAAAACACAGACAAAAGCATTACCCTTTCCTTCCTCTAGCCAAAATGAAAACAAAAACGTTTTTGCTACACAGACACTTTTAGGAAGCAAACTTCCCAACAATAGGCCTTACTGACCAATGGTCTTAGCCATCCATTTGCCTTGAGGCCCACATTGAAAGAGTGAAAGCAGACCAAGGCTCTTTCACACGGACATTCCAACCGGGTCCATCTGCCTGTTTTACGGGCGGACCCAGTTGGAACCTCCATTCTCCTCTATGGAGAGGTGGGTGTAAAAAGACACGTGTCCATTTACACCCGCTGACATACGATCAGCCAAAAAGGGATGGATGGGGATCCAATTCCCCTACCATACTTTGGATTGGGTTGGATGAAAACGGACAGGTGGTCTGTTTTCATCCGAACATCCATTGAGGAGAGCAAGCAGACATAGAGCTGTCATCCAGTTGCTCAGCGGGGATCAGCGGGGGATATCTCTGCTAAACCGGTCCGCCCCATGTGAAAGGACCCTTAGAACAAAAAATTGGAGCTGCGATGGCTGGCCTTTATGTTTTGAATACTACTTTCAAAGTTTTAGTACATTTTTATGTTCATACAGTTCAGCTAAAAAGGATTTAAAATTTGGATTACACTATCTATCTGCTAACTAGGGGGCGTGTGGGATCCCTTGGATTGTTTAAAGTAAACTTTGTTTTGTCCACATCCATGGGCACGGCAGGTTCACTACAAAGTCAGCTTATTATTAAGCCTCCCTCCTACCCAGATGTCACCATCATTTATTCAAGGGGGGCAGACACCCTGTATTTTCTGCTTTATGGTATGTACCACCATCCCTGCAATCAAAGTGCTACTTTAAGTTGGGAGTAATGACTAGCAGTATAACGTGACCTCTTAAGAAGCACTACCCCAATGCCTACGCTGAGTAAGGCTCATGTCAAAGGCATTGGCCAGATTCGAAGACATTAGTATGGGTGCATGTGTAGGCATCAAAAAAATGAGGTGGCCTGCCTGACTGCTCATCGAAGTTTAGAGCTGTTGTCAGAGTTCCTACTTAAATGGCATTTGCAGACACGTCAACTCATCTATGTTAGTTTATCTTGGTCTTTCTCATGACAGAAAAATATTGCAAAATGTCACATTCAGCCCTAATTGGTTTCATAACATAAGCAAACAGCACAACAGAATTTATAGGAAAGTTATATAAATGTTAGTAAACTATTTTTTGGTGCAGCCATGCGTATTTTTACAAATATATCCAACCAATAAAAACATATCATATAAAATAAATTATTTTGGTTCAGTAGTAGCTTTGAAAAGGTTGATGGCAAAATCAGACTACACATTAATCACATAGCCGATTGTTTATTGTTGCTGTAAAAAGTTGCTAAAATCTATGTAACCACTGGCGGAACTGACCAATATTGACTGTGCAGGATATGTAAGCTTTTGGCAACATCCTATAAAAATCAATACTTTTCAAAATTGCATTCTCCAGCAAAGATATATTGCAAAGCAAAAAACAGTGTAACCTTTTATTCACAACTGCACTGTTAGAGTAGAAATACATAGTTCCTATAGAAGTATAACATTGTCACTATACTGACAACTGGCATATTGATAAACATTTGGAAAATGTGTTAAAGATACTAATCTATACCACAAGCAACAATATTGATCTGTTGGGCAGGATTTTGTAGCTAGTATATGAACTCATTTACTTCATTTTGTGCTATAATATATCTCTGTCTCATGTCATCTTCTCTCCCCCTTTTCCCCATATGTAGGTTTTATTCGACCTGAAATCAATACCTAATGTTACATCGCTGCTAAAATTAACCCTGCTTTAATTTTAAATCAATAGCTGGAGCTTTACAAATTCTGCCTACTCAGCTCATTTCGCTGTTTAGATTAGCACTGATCACTGGCACCAGTAAAAAGTACAGTATTAAGATCTGATGGCTTTATATCCATAATCTTCGCACAACCAGACCACACTTTGGAAGACCTCAATGTTTTAGTTCTGAAAGGAAATTTCAAATCCATTCAGGAAAGAAAAACTTTTGAACTAAGAATGATAATTCTATTTGACACAAGAGATAAGACATTTTTATGACTCTCTCTGTGATTGTTGTCCCCCCCCCCCCCAGTCTTTGCTTTTGCTTTGCTGTATCTTATCTCTAGCTTAACCCTAGCCTTGTGTTTCTTTCTGCTTTTTTTTTTTTCTCTCATCTCCAACTCCTAACACTGTAATAGTACTGCTCGGACCTTGCAGAAGGGGACATACCCCGAAAGCTTGTCCTCGAAATTGTATGTTAGTGCAAATAAAAAAAGTATCACGGACAGTACTCAATTGTTTCCTTCTTTGTTTGAAATCCCTGGTGTTCCTGGCAGTCCCTCTGCTTTCCTATTAAAAACTGAGAAAGAAACGACAGCCTCAAATGTTTCTTGTATACAACAGTGTTTTTAGTCTTGCATTTTTCCCCACTATTCCTTAGTGATTGCTTATGGTTAAAACATTGCTTGTTTTTTATGCAAAATAATGTTTGGGGTCCTCCAAAAAAAAAAAAATTCACTAAAATTCTAGTCTATGGGCTAGTTCATGTCAGAATGGTGCAATTCTGGTGCATTGAACTTTAGGCACATTTTACATATCCTTCAGTTGCATTGCCACTAAAAACTCTAGAGAATGTGTTTTTTGATGAAAACGCATCAAAGAGACAGCATATTCTTTTTTTTTTATGCACTGCACCTAAAATGCACATAAGGCACAGGTGTAAATGGGGCCTTAGAAATGTGAAGCCTGTCCAAAAACCATGCTTTTTGGATTCTTAAAGAATAATTTCACTTTTGTTGAGAAAACAAAAAATAAAAAAACAAAAATGTCTGCATCCCTTTAGAAGTGATTAACCCTTAGAGAGTAATTTGCCAAAAATGACATTGTTGTTGCAGAGGATACCTAAAACCTGACTTGTGTCTTACTGGATAATTCTTCACACAAGCAGGAATTGACATTTCTGGGGGGGGGCGGTCTGTACACCAACTGTTTATAGAATGCCTTCGGGTTGCCACACTGGATTGAATTTTACAGAAAATTACAGTGGCTGCTTTTGAAAAGGAAAGGTAATGTAAAATTACAACATGGCTTGGTGTAGCAATTTTATATGCTATATTCATTTTATTTTTTTCATTTGCTATATTTTTTCCCACAAAAGTGGAGTTACACTTTAAAATAAATTCACAGGTGATTAAAGTGGAATTTCAGTGATACTGTAAAAAAAAAAAAAAAAAAAAAAAAAAAAAAAAACTATAGCTGCTGACTTTTAAAAAACAGCCACTTACCTATCCCTAGATCCCACAGTGTCCTCCCCACAACCCGTTTCTCCGGCCGTCCTGTGTTCCCGGCGCTGGCGTCTTCAGTGTGGGCACCCGATTGTGACAACTTGTGGCTTCACAGCCAGGTGCCCACTGCGCATGTGCGAGTAGCACTGCGCTTTCTGAATGGCTCCGTAGTCTTCTGGCACCTCCTGTCACGGGTCCCAGAGGACTTCGAGGAGGGCAACTTCAGCTTCCAATCGCCTAAGCAATCACAGCAGAAGTTGGAGCGGGAACCTGTCAATTTCAGGTACGCGCTCCCCAAAGACGCCAATCCTTAACAGGGAGCAGTCATTAACGCTAAACGTCCCCTTGTGGGTGGCACTCTGCTCTAAAGGTATGTTTGGGTCACAGTTTTACTGTAATATCCAGACTGTTCAGTTTCTTCAATGATTGCCAGACATGAGCTTCCAAGATTTCTTCACACAGTAGAATCCAAACTTCCCTCTACCTGCTCACTAAGTCCTTCTGCTGCCACAAAATGTAAAAGCATAACAAATCAACCCCTATGCTTAACAATGCTTTGAAAGAAGGTGTTTTTTTTCTCCAATTGTTTGTTTAGTGATCGCCAGCATCAAATATTCGTCAGACAACAGTACTTAGTACAAAAATGCCCCTTTTCTATATGCTGTGTTGCAAACTCCAGGCATGGTCTTATGACTATTCTATGCGGATCTTACGTGTACAGGCATCACTGCACAATGGACAGCTCAACGATCCTGCAGGTCCTTTGTATTAATATGAAGTTTTAACTCTGACTGCCTGACGAGCCTACTGCAGATTTTTCTTGGTATTTCATATATTTTCTTGAGTTCAACAGTTTTTTGTCTTCCCTTTTTAAATCACATTTGGCTTAGTCAGTGTAGAACTCAACAGTAGCATAGAAGATCGTATTATCTTCTGCACATGCCATAAATTATGTAATATTTTTTTTCAATCTGCTAATGCAGCAAATGGTATTTTGTTGTTATTATACTATATATATGGTATACATACATTTGTAAGGCTACAGGACAGTGGTGGTCAACTTAGTCCATAACAACCACTGGTTGGTTCAAATACTTTAAAAGGTATACATTGCAATGTTAACATGTATAAAATGATTAACACTAAAACAGAATTACTGGTCATATCTTTCATGGTTGTAACAGAATAAGCCCCTAAAACATCTGTAAATACTATTATATATTATTTACAACAAAACAAAATTCGCTTTTCAATTAGGCCAGTTGAAACATGTTCCCAGGATACCAAGTCCAGCTCACTGATACTCAGTTGGAGCCAAAGACCTTGATAAAGAGCAAGGTCAGTACTGGAAACACTGTATTGTTTGAAACACAAATACCTGCCATATGGAACAATGAATTTGCTGAGTATATAATGCAGCATGTAGATGTGCATAGTTGCTGGTAGACAATTGTATTAGAACAAGAACAATGAATTACTGATAAGCAAACTGTGACTATGCCAGTGATACCTGATGGTAGTACCAGCTCCATTGTCTCCTCATCATACTCAAAATTCTTCTCATCGGGTACATCACTGTCATCCATTTCCACATCATCTTTTTCTTTCTGATCAGGGTAGCTGGACCTGTTAAGAGAGTGTTTTAGCTGAAATCTTTATAAACCTGTGCAAATCTACCACATTGGAATATTTTCACTGAAAACTGGCAACGACAATATAACAAGTTCATTGCATATCAAGGACCAAATTCGAACTCTAATCTATGGCCAGGAATCTCACTGTGATTGACTCTGTAATAACACATTCCCTTTTAAGAGGCAAGATTCAGGTCAGAAGTATCTGTAAAATAACTGACTAAACTCAGAAACATCTCAAACTGATCTCTAATATAAGCTGAAATCACCGTATACTAGAATGTAAAATTGATCTACACAAGCCCCTATAAAAAGTGATTCTTAGACAAAAAAAAGATTATTTACTGTTCACATCATGTATCTAAACAATCTTATAGAAAAATGCTCAGACATATAACTGATTAAGTAGTGTTCTGTGAAAAAAAAAAAAAATATATCACACCTAACATATAGTACACTTCTGAACTTTAGCAAATTTGCTGTAGTCCAAGTTCTTGAAATAGCACTTAGAAAAAGTAGAGGCAGGTGTCTCAGCTATGCTTCTTCATTAAATGTGAAGCCCAAGATACCTGAATATTACCACCAGAAACCATTTTCTCAAGTTGGGAAGGGGCTCCAGGATTAAGCAGCCATATGGAGGTTGTGGCAACATGTAGAGGAGAAGACTGTATATGGAGTATTTAAATGCAGATAGCATAATGGTTGACAGTTAAAGCAGTAGTACACCCCAAAACAAACATATCACAGCTTACCATTTCTTAGATGTGGTGGTTGAATTATTTTTCTTTTTTAGACTATATTTCTTCTATTTCATCTGGTGATCCGGCCAGTAAGTCTGTTTTTCAAAATAACAAGCTCTCCAGCAAATGTATCAGTTACACAGATGAAACATCCATTGAACACTGGCAGGAGTGCATACGATTTGTTTTTATGTAAGATATTATCCCAAAAGGAAAGCAATGTTGCTGTAACTGCTTATACAGTATTAGCTGAAATTTGGCTTCAATTTGTTAATGTATTCAAATCTGCCAATACATCTAACACTCCCCTCCCTCCAGATTTACAATGCTGCTGTCTGCTGTGCTCCCTCATCTAGAGTGGGAGCACTTATACAGGAGATGTGTTACTGGCCAGATCACCAGGTGAAAACAAAGGGAAAGAAGCCTAAAAAAGAAAACTAATGCATCCATCACATCTAATGATTGGTAAGCTGCAATATATTACATTTCTGGTTTTGGGTTTAATACCACTTTCTAATGGAAAGGAGTATGCAGGTTGTGCATTTCATATATTTTCTTGAATTCAGCAGTTCTCTTTGTCTTCCCTTTTTAAATCACATTCGGGTTAGACAGTTTAGAACTCAAATGCGAAGAAAATGTTAGTGTGGATGTATGACAGCAGGCAGTCTGTGAAGGATAAAACGGTTTGTTGCAGTGTGGGGGTGAGATGGCCATGTACATTGTGTTCTGTCAAGAAGAAAGCCCCCAAAGGAATGCCATCTCCATTTCAGCCAGCTGTTTTTCAGCACAAAGGAGGGCTGGCACAGGCACAAAAGATTCCCAACGAACTGAAAGTGGACAAAATCTCTGCGCTCTCTTCTACTCAATTACTTTCCCGGCACTGCCACAAGTCTAATCCACAGTTGGCAGTCAGTACCTCTGGTACACAGGGCGCTCTGAAATGCAGCCGGCAAGCAGAGCAGAGAGTCAGAGCTGTGACAGAAAGAGTGCAGAGGAACAGAAGGTAAAGGTTCCCGCATAGCAAGGGGAGAGTGAAGGCCACAGATGGGGTTTAATACAACATCCAGTATGCCCAGTGAAGTATAACTATAGGCAAAAACTATAGACGAGGTTGTTACAGTTTTTTTCTGATGCCTATGTAACCACTTGGCCCCTGGACCCTATCCACAGCTAAAACCAATAGACACTATTCTGTACTCATGCCTGGACCTCTCTGCTGCCTTTGACACAGTGGACCACCCACTCCTCCTCAAAAAACTCCACTCCATTGATCTTCTTGACTGTACTCTTCACTGGTTCTTGTCCTACCTTTCTCACCTACCTTCAGAGTCATTTACAATCCCACTTCCTCCTCTCCTCTTCCTTTCTACGTCATGGCACCCTAAGGTTCTGTTCTTGGACCTCTTCTATTCCTGATCTATACCTCCTCCTTGGGTCAGTTGATACCAATACCATTTCTACTCTGAACACACACACATCTCTCGGTCTACCACTAAGCTCACTCCATCAGTCTCCACAAGCATCACTAGTCTACTAATGGACAGATCAGCCTGGGTGCCACACCACTTCCTCAAACTCAATCTATCCAAAACCGACCTCATGATATTTCCTCCCCCACGTGCCCCTTCCACTGACTACTCTGTCAAGATTGGAGGCACAACTATAAATCCATCCCCACATGCCAAGGTGCTAGACGTTACCCTGGACCCTGATCTATCCTTTTGGCCTCACATCCAATCACTGTTCAGAAGGTAAAGGTTCCCGCATAGCAAGGGGAGAGTGAAGGCCATAGATGGGTTTTAATACAACATCCAGTACGCCCAGTGAAGTATAACTATAGGCAAAAACTATAGACGAGGTTGTTACAGTTTGCCGCTTCTGGAACATCTCCAAAATACACCAAAGCTCATAATTCACTCCCTGGTCATCTCTCGCCTTGACTACTGCAACTCCCTGCTCATTGGATTATCTTTACATAGGCAATCCTCATTTTAGTCCATGATGAATGCTGCTGCTAGATTTATCCACCTTAGCAACCGTTCGGCGTCTGCTACTCCTCTCTGCCAAACCTTCCACTGGCTTCTGCTCCCCCAACGAATTCAATTAAAACTTCTAACAACTTGCAAAGCCATCCACAACTCTGTCCCCATCTACATCACTACCCCAGTCTCAAATTACCAACCAAATTGTTCTCCTTGTTCCTCCCAAGACCTCCTGCTCTCTAGTTCCCTTGTCACTTCCTGCCTTGCTCACCTCCAGGACACCTCTGAGTCTCTCACATCCTATGGAATTCTCTACTCCAATCTGTGACTGTCCCCTACTCGGTCTACATTTAGACGATCTGTGAAAACCCATCTCTTCAGACAAGCCTTTCCTGCCCCCACATAATATCTGTACTTTTTTTTCTTCCATCGGCTCATCCCCACAATTATTACCTTTTGTATCAATTGACCCTCCCTTTTAGATAGTAAGCTCTAAAGAGTAGGGCCCTCTGTTTCCTACTATGTTAAATTGTAACTGTACTGTCTGTCCTCACATTGTAAAGCGTTGCACAACCTGTTGGAGCTATATAAATCCTGAATAATAATATGTCAAAACATCCCCAAACTAGAAATAAAGGATACTTTAAAAGCTGCATGAAAGTATTATGCTTGCTAAAAGCCTCTTGTACACGTTATACCAGTAGAAGCCCAAGTGTACACTGCCTAAACTAATCTGTTTGAAGCATGTAGATGTGAAGAATCTAGTCTGCACTCTGTACCAACGTTCATAAGGGACCAACACAGTTCTTCCTGAATGTCAACATCATTTAGAAAACAAGTCTCCAGTGAAAAAACAGACTTGCTAATTGCTTCCTGACAGCTCATCAGTAACCAGGCACTCTGGTTATCAGGTTTCACTATTGCACAGCCGATCTAATCAAATCAGGCATGCATAGTGAATACTCATAAGCAATCTGCAAAGCATTTGTGATCTCTTAACACCACAATGACACTTTGTAAGCTTGTCTTTTAATGAGTTGCATGGTCCTACAAGCAGCTTTCAATGCACAGCCAGGATCAGATATTATCAAGAGTCTATCAATAATGTGTACCTAGACAGTTCTTTGAGTACTCACACTAAGTTCCACTCTAATGTTCACCTATTCATAGAAGTTGGCACATTTTCACCTTGTAACTTCATGTACAGTTTGTTACACACCAATATTCTGTAAATGCAGAATCAGTATATTGGACACATTGATATCTACAAAGCCCTAGAACTAAAACTAAATGTGTATTTAAGGGCAAGGGCGTTTACATACTTTGGTCAAAGACCTACCTTGTTGGGATTGATTTTTTCCTTTTTTTTATACATACTGTCACCAGTCAGTATCACTGCCACACCAATCATATGATGACACTGTACTGCACTGGTAACAGTATGTAAAAAAAACAATATTTTAACCACTTGAGCTCCAGAGGATTTACCCCCCTTAATGACCAGGCCTTTTTTTGCTGTTTGGCGCTGCACTAATTCATATGATAATTGCGTGGTCATGCAATGCTGTACCCAAACGAAATTTACGTCCTTTTTTTCACACAAATAGAGTTTTCTTTTGGTGGTATTTGATCACCTGTGCGCTTTTTATTTTTTGCGCTATAATAAAAAAAAAACACGAAAATTTTAAAAAAAAAACAATATTGTCTACTTTCAGCTATAAAAAAAAAATATATCGTAAACTCAAAGTTAGTCATAAATTTAAGCCAAAATGTATTCCGCTACATGTTTTTGGTAAAAAAAAATCCCGTGCATTAGCGGGCAAACTGGCGCTATCTAGGAGGGGCGCTAACACTATCGGAAGTCACCAGTGACACGAATACAGTGATCAGTAAAAATCTGTTCACTGTAATCAATGACACTGGTGACAGGGCAGTGAAGGGGTTAACGGGGGGGGGGGGGGGGCGATCAAGGGGTTAAATGGGATTTCTGGTGCACTAGCGGGCAAACTGGCGCTATCTGGGAAGGGCGCTAACACTATCGGAAGTCGCTAGCGACACTGATACAGTGATCAGTAAAAATCTGATCAATGACACTGGTGACAGGGCAGTGAAGGGGTCAACTCAGGAAGGGGGGGTTAAGGGGTTAGACGGGATTATTGGTGTATTAGCGGGCAATCTGGCGCTATCTGGGAGGGGCGCTAACACTATCGGAAGTCGCCAGCGACACTGATACAGTGATCAGTAAAAATCGGTTCACTGATCGGTGACACTGGTGACAGGGCAGTGAAGGGGTTAACTGGGGGGGGCGATCAAGGGGTTAAACGGGATTACTGGTGTACTGGTGGGCAATCTGGCGCTATCTGGGAGGGGCGCTAACATTATTGGAAGTCGCCAGCAACACTGATACAGTGATCAGTAAAAATCGCTTCACTGATCAGTGACACTGGTGACAGGGCAGTGAAGGGGTTAACTGGGGGGGGGGGAGATTAAGGGGTTAAATAGGATTACTGGTGTACTAGCGGGCAATCTGGCGCTATCTGGGAGGGGCGCTAACACTATCGGAAGTCGCCAGCGACACTGATACAGTGATCAGTAAAAATTGGTTCACTGATCAGTGACACGGCAGTGAAGGGGTTAACTGGGGGGGGGGGGGCGATCGAGGGGTTAAACGGGATTACTGGTGTACTGGCGGGCAATCTGGCGCTATCTGGGAGGGGCGCTAACTCTATCGGAAGTCGCCAGTGACACTGATACAGTGATCAGTAAAAATCGCTTCACTGATCAGTGACACTGGTGACAGGGCAGTGAAGGGGTTAACTGGGGGGGGGGGGGGGCGATCAGGGGGTTAAATGTGACCTAGAGTGTTCTGTCAGTGTGTAGTGTTTTACTCACTGTTTGGATGTCTTCTTCTCTGTCTGGAACGGAATGTGTCCAGGCAGAGAAGAATGACATCATATCCTGCCCTGTGTAAATGTCAACACAGGACAGGATAGGACAGGGACTGATCATGTGATTTCAGCCAGAAATCACTGGCTGAAATCTAATGATTGATCCCTCCTGGATCGAATCGTCTCACCCGCGGGTCGGCGGGCGGGCGCGCGCGCGCGCCCCCTACCCGCGAATGTGTCGGGAGCGTGGAGCACGTTTTAAAACGTGCTTTTGCGCTCCACTGCCGCCCTGCACACATATATACACAGTGGCAGGGCGGCAAGCGGTTAATGTCTTCATTGTCCAAAACAAGTGACAAAAAATTTACAACTTAAAAAAATGCCATGCCTTTTCAGTTTTCAAATATACTGTATATACCATAGTTTGTGGACTCTAACGTTCACGCAGACTAAATAATATACACTGATTTGGGATATTTTTATCAAAGAAATGTAGCAGGGTTTTTTTCAAAATTTTCAGCATTTTTTAGTTTATATAGCAAAACATATTAAAGTTGTTCTAAAGGCTCAGAGTTTTTTACCTTCATGAATTCTATACAAAAAGGTAAAAAAACATCTGTGCAGCATCCCCCACAGCCCCTCCTAATACAACCTAAGCCCCCCCGCCCCCTCCCCAAGCACATATTCTTGCAAACAATCTATGATTAGGTCTCTCAATTCATTTTGTAATATATTTTTTCTCTGTTCACTATATGGCATACACAAAAGGAAGAAGGCCTGTTTTTATCTGTTCCTTTGACTAAATATGTGCTACATAGATGCAAGTATTTGTCAGCATTGATGTTGTTACTTTATGCTCATATCAATACTAATAAAACTCATTTGGATTAAAAAAAAAAAAAAAAAGTGCATTTATTTTTTCTAAGGAGCTTGCAGAGCATTGCACAGAATCGGGGGGAAAGGGGGTGCATGCCGAACATGTTACACCCTAAATACAGATGTATCATGAAACATGTTCAGGACGGTGAACTTAGCGTTTAAGTACATATATACTAAGTAATGCGTAAATGTAACACTTGCAAGTATTTATTGCTTTTCCATCAGGACAGGACCATCTTTGCTCAGGCATTATCCAGGCTCAGTATTTACTTCCGGGAATGAGATGCTAGCTAACAGAACACACAGTTGTGAAAATCTTGCTGCCTGTGCAGTTCTTGGTGATGTTCACACAGTTCAACACAGCTCAGCTCCCTACTGCAGCCTCTCTCCTTGCTTCAAATTTACAATATTGCAATCTAATTACTACAAGAAAAAATACAGAGGAAATGCTTTTTCTTGCCTGCAACAGACTGCTGACAAAATCTCAACCTAGTCAAAGTCACTTGTTGGCAGTTCAAGGACTGTTCCTTAATGATAAAAGGTAGTTTGTCTGAAAACGTATTGCTGTAAATTGTAACGTGTCAGGAACCTATTTAGGTGGATTTGCAAAGCAACAGAAAGGTCCACTTTGCGTAGCAGGCATCTTTTTTAACTTTTGGTCCGCATTAAAGGAATTTTTGCTGAAAACATGGACATCAAAGAATATAGCTGGCCACACACTGAGCTAAACTCAGTCAATGGGTGACCCTGCCAGTCCCATTCTGTTCGGCAAAAAATTGATGGGAGTCTGCTGGAAAATTTTTGGCCAATCAGTAGCTGCAGCCAATAAGATGTAGCCACTATTTGAGTACTCTGATAGCCAGTGCCAGTGGCTGTCAGAATACAATAGCCTAGCGGGCTAGCATTAAGTGTGGAAGAAGGAATCTGCTAGGTTTCTTTCAGTCGACATGCAGGAAAACCTAACACTTAAAGGCCAGCATATGTTCTTAAGCAAAAGCTTTCATAGTGTTAAATCTCACTACTCCCTTGTACCTATTTAACTACTTGCAGACCACCTGCCTGCAATGTACTGTATGTCGCTGGCCTGTTCTGGGTAGAGGGCACACGTCCCCTGAACTCTGATAAAATAGTCAAACTGTATTTGTAGAATAATTTTCCACTTAAGTGCCACCTGCCCACAATGTACTGGGGACAGGTAGCCCGTACAGTGACGTAACCGTACATCACTGACCTTTTCCGGGTACAGGGTGCATGCCCCCGCTTGCCAGCTCCCACTGTGATTATACACAGAGGGAGTTTGTCAGCAGGTCTGGGCCTATGATTCATGGCTGGGGCCTGCAGATTGACTGTGTCCAATCACAGGCCAGAGCCCTGTGCTGACAATCAACACAGCGCTCTGTATAGAGGGAACACACTCTTTCTTCCCTACAAATCAGGGTGAAGAAAAATATTTTTTAGTAAAAAGCAGCACACATTACGCAAGTTAACATTTGTGAGGCACAAACTTAGCCCCTTTATTACCAGAGATGTTAACCCGTTCCCAGCCAGCATTAGTAAAGTGACAGTGTATAGTATTATCACTGATCACTTTATTAGTGTCACTAGTGATATCAGCAGCAGTTTGTCAATTCTCAGTGTCAGTTAATGTCAGATTGGCAGCAGAACTATCACAGTCCCACTATAGGTCGCTGATCACTGCCATTAGTAGTATAAAATAACTAAAAATTCCAGTATAGATACCATAGTTTGTAGATGCTACAACTGTCACGCAAACCAATCAGTATAAGCGTATTGGGATTTTTTTTTTTTTTTTTTATTCAAAAATATGTAGTGGCCTAAATTTACCAGGAAGTTTTTTTACCTGGATGTTTTATAATCAGAAAGTAAAATGTATTCTTTTTTGTTTTTAATGTTCAGGTTTTTTTGTTTACATAATAAAAATTAAAAACCCAAAAGAAAGATTTGTGCGAAAAAAAAATGATAGAAATTTTGTTTGGGTTACAACGTTGTATGACCGTGCAATTATCCGTTAATTGTTCATTTCAGTGCAGTGCTGAAAAGCAAAACATGGCCTGGTTACGACGGGGGTAAAACCTTCTGCCGCTAAAATTGTTAAATAGCACACCTTTAGATTAATGTAAAAGAACAAACAGGTAACATAAGAAGCATCAGTGAAATAAAAAAAGAATTCTTAGTTTGTGATTTATTTTTACCTAAAGTCATAGAAGTCTGCAAACTCCAGGGCAGCATCACCATCAGTGAAGAGCCTGCAGTGACTCTTGTCAACCATGTGAGCTTGAACGGATTCTGTGGTGTAAAAAGACTTTCCTTTTTCGTTACACCATAGACATATCTTCCCAACTCCCACCTTCTCACCTATAAAGTCAGGAAACACAACACAGTGAACACAACGGAAAAAGGTTAACATACAGTATTAGGCACCAAAAGACCCCATGGCTCACCTTGCTTTTGCAAGGAATCAACACAGGTTTTAAATGTAAACTACAACTAAAGCTTTTCATTTCAGTATTGGACCCTTGGAAGAAGGATTAGAACTTCTGTCAGGCTTTAACTGCCGCTTACTTGAAGGAAAGATTCCTGTTGCGTCCATTCACAGGGACCACACAAGAAGTTAATTAGAATGTTTGCAACAGGGACACAGATTGTCCACCAAGAGGTTCCATACTTTCCTACAGTTAAGTGGTTATAAAGCCTAAACATTTTTTTTTTAACCTTTGCATTCAGGTAAAAAATGTTTAGGGCATGCCCCCTCACCGCACCTTATACTTACTTGAGCCCTCAATCAACACTGTGCACATCTGCAGCTCTTCTCTCGCCTCACTTTCTAGTCTCGGTGGCCTTGCTGAGGCAAGCCAATGGCTCCCGCTGCTGTCAATCAATGCGAGCAACAAGGAGCAGGGGGCAGGGGTGAGTCCCAAAGTCTGTCTACAGACGTTTACAGTGGGAGTCGGAATTGAGCACACAGGTGGATCCCCATAGGATGGGTTTTCCTTTGGGGTACACCCGAGAAGAAGATGTTTGGGGCCATTCTGTGCAATTCCTTTGCACAGAGCAGGTAAGTATAAACCTGTTTGTTTATTACTTAAAAAAAAGTTTGTTTACAAAATCACCATAATTTGGGTTTTTCTAATTGCTGTCTGTTACCCAGCTGGAAGTGAGAGAGTCTCCCTGGCGGGGTCACAGACAGCAATAAAAACCTGACCAGTTCTAATTCTTCCTTGTGTTGTTCAAAAGTAACATTATTGGACTGAAGTTGGGCTAGATTTTTGCTGCATAGGCTCTAGCAGTGACCCTAGCTATATTTTTATATATATATATATTATATATATATATATATATATATATATATACACACACATATACACACACACACACACACACACACAACTCATAATAGCTTGGTATGCTATGGTCCAGTTCAGAACTTTCATTTTGTTAAATTTCAATCATTTCTTGAACACTGACCCAAGTAGCTGATAAGACCCTGAAGATCCTGCAGAAACTCTATGTCAGGAATGAAGAAGCTGTGGACTTTGGTCATGTGGGCAACATTCTTCAACAGTGAGCGGGAGTGATGAGAGCAGAACAAGCAATCTGTGACAGGGATTGCACCAGGTGGAGAAGTGCTATCTGCTACAGCGGCAGAACAGCCTTCAACAGCTAAATCATCTTCCATCTCATCTTCCATCTCCTCATCCTCATCACTGTCTGCATCATTTTCTGATTCCATGTCCTCCCATTCTGAAAAACAAGAGATAGCATAAAAGTAAAATTCCAAACGACATAATAAAACGTTCAGATACACATGCTGTATCTTATAAACATGGGGTATGTGCTAAATTCAGAAATCCTACTCAAGACTTAAAGAAAACCTGTGCTTTCCCATGCAGGGCAATGCAAGATGTCCACTGTAACGCCCCCCTCCCCAGAAACATATAGTTACCTTTCCTTTGCTCTTCTGCTGCCAGGATCTGGTTATATCCTTCTGTTTGTGTCACTTAACACTTTGCCTCTCATACAACAGCACTGGTGTTTGGCAATTGACCAAGCGGTGTTGCATGGGGGTGGGGAGCCCTCAACTCTCCGTAAGCTTCAACTACAGAAACTCAGAGCTTGCACAGGTGATGGCTGAACAGACGGTAGATTAATAAAAGGAAAAGTAACTATGTGCTGCTGCTGCAGAGGTGTGCATTAGGCGAACCCGTTTTCTTGCAAAGCACACGTCTGGTTTAATGTGTATTCCCTATAATGCCATCCAAAATAACCACACACACCAATTTACAGATTTGTTAGGAGGGCAGTAGGAGTAAATTTCCTGAAATCTGTGCTCTGTGACTTCCTCTTGCTGCTTAATGCTTTTATAACCACATTTACACTTTCAAGGCAGGTTGGAATCCATTGTTCGCAGTGATAAATATTAGAACAGGCATTTTTTAAAATCAGGCTTTTCGTGCGAAAAGCAGAAAGGAGGGTGTTCCAGCAGCACCAGCAAATGTGTTCCAGGATCACCAAATTATGTATAGTGATGCATTGGACCGGTGCACTACAACAATGGCTGGACAAAAAATGAATTACTCAAAAAGTAGTCTATGCTCCTTGTATGCCTGCACTCAGTTTTCCTTTTATTAAACTGAAAAACTTAGTGGACATAAGGTACATGTCTCACTAGCAATTCAGTCAAGCAATTCTGTATGTATGATTAAGCACAGGTATGTGTAAAAAGCATTAGAGATTCTTGTCTGCTTGCTACCCAAATAATGATATTTGTATTGAAAATTGGAGGGTCATCAACCTGGTATTTGTCAGGTCAGCTAGGGATTTTTTGTAGATTTTAAGCTATTGCCAGTGACATAACTGCTAAAGATTCACCTACTTCCATGTGTCCATGTAAGTTGCCAGCAAGGAAGTGACGCCTTACTCATTTAGTTGGCAAAGAAAGTAGACAAATAATGTTCCTACCCTGTTTACCCCTGTATAGCTTTACTGTCACTGGAGTTCTTACCAGCGACCGGACTGCTAGCCTGACATGGCCCTTACAGTTACTAATTGTGATCAAAAGGTCCTGATGTACAGACAAGATTTTATTGTTGGTGTAACATTTTGTAAAAATGTCCTGTGTTTTCAGCATTACCTTCCTCGTCTTCCACAGAATCATTCTCATCTTCTTTAGTTGCCAATTTCTTTGCTTGCTGTTCATACCACTGCAATCTGGGTGGCTTTTCAGGTCTAGTTCTCACTTGGGGTCCTTGTTTGTCTGAGACAGAAGCCATCTCGCTATACTGAGCAGTGCTGACTTTCTTTTTTGGAGACATGGAGGGCTGTGATTTGATTGCTTGCTGAATAACTGCATTCATGGCATCCTTGTCTACATTCTCTGCCTCCAAACCTTTTTCCAGATTCTTTTCATTCATCATCTCAACTTTCTTTGTGACTGCCTGTGCTGTCTTCTTCTCCAAGTCTAGGTGTTTTTTGGACTTCAGATGGTTTTCATAGGCATTGAATGTAGAGAATCGTTTACTACACACAGTGCAGTAGGTGGCTGTTTCTTTACTCTTCTCTTCTACCACAGCTCTCTGGGCCAGGACCCGCTCTTGGAAATTCTCTGCTGTCACTGGAGGCATGTCAGCCACTTTCCTCTTCAGATTGTACCTATGCCAATCTGTCTTGTAATGTGCTCTCTGAATATCAGGATCTGCAAAGGCCACTCGGCAGGTGATGCATGTGTAGGCAGCCATTTTTGTACAACTTGGTCACCAAGAAGGCTCTGAACTGCTGAAAAAACAAACACAATCGATTTCTACATGTCTGCAGACTATGTTTTCATACTAGAAAGTTGACTCCTTTTTAATCACTTGCCGGCTGCCAACAGTAGATGTACTGCTGGCAGCCGGCTTACTCAGGCATCGCAACTTCCCTGTATGTTGCAGTGAACTTCCTGGTTTAGACGTGTGTGGCCGTGGCGGATCTGTGTTGTGATTGGACACAGCATAAGTTTGTCAGCAGGTTACAGCCAATGTTTTTGTCTGTATACCTGCTGATCTGTTCTGGCCAATCACAGAACAGAGATCTGTGTTTGTGAACACTGAATTTCTCCTTGTTATCAGTTACCATTCAGAACTAAAAGCAAGGAGAGACCCAGCCAGATCTGAGAGTAAAGGCCGTACACGTACACTCGCATACAGTTGTTAGGCACACAGTTAACCCCTTGATTTCCCTCCTGATTACTCCTGTAATGCAACCAGTGTCATTAGTACAGTATTATCATTAATCAATATACAAGTTTCATTAGCGACGTCAAGTAGTATCCCTCCCAGCCAGTAACAGTGAATGCTAGATTGCCCACCACACTATCACAGTCACACTATAAGTCGCTCTCATCACCGCCATTACTAGTAGAGTGTCTGTATGGATCAGTATTTTGATCACAATAAAAACTGTACTAATTTCCCCAGAAGCGTAGTGTTAGAAGTGGGATAGTTTTATACCAAAGACATGTAGCAGAATACATTTTGGCCTAAATTTTTGAAGAAATTTGATTTTATTAGATATGTTTTATAGCAGAAAGCAGGAAATATTGTACTAGCCTTACATCTGTATACATCTAAGTGCAAATAAAGGTGTTCCCTGGAAAGAAGAAAGTACTCACCTCTCTCATTGTCTACAGTGGCTCTCCACAAACAGAATGCATCTTTAGAAGATAAGTTCATCTTTGGGAACATATTACATGTTCCACTTCTTTTAAGAGTCCCCCCTCTCCCTGTGAGAGAAGTACCAGCTGTCACTTTTTGAAAAGAGCCTCTATGAATGAATCAACTACAAGGTACCAACATCCTTTGCGGCTGATGACTTGCAGTTTTCACTGAACAACCACAGTGCTGTTGAGCACTCTAGTAGTTCACTGATTCTTGTAGCCACTGTATAACTGCCTGCCAGTACGATTTACGGGCATAAAACTTACACTGACAGTCTGTAGGAGTCCTGCAATGCTTTCCAGGCTGCTATAAACAAAAAAAAAATAGTAAATGCACATTATCTTTTACCTGCAAAAAAATGTGCATTTATTTTTTATAAAAGGTGAACTTATCCTTTAACAACCTGTGACAGATGGACAGGGGGTAGCAGTGTCAAACATGTTGCAGAGTGTAGGGAGACAAACACTCTGCCTGTTTATGTCTGCCAACTTAAAAGAAAAGTATGGCCAAACTTCTCTTCTGGGACACAAGAGTGTGCTTATTTTTTCACTCCTGTGACCCAGATTCAGCCGACAGTGTAATAAAGTCTGCTGTCAGTTAACATCACAGAGCTGGTCCAGGCTCTGCAGGGATCCCAACAAAAATGTCGGAATCCTCCCAGATGCCTGATTGAGAGCAGAGAGATGAGATCATTATTTTCAGTTTCCAGTGTTTACTATGTGAGTGCTGTGATTGGTCACCGCAGTAACATGATAAAAGACTACGTGATCGCCCGAACACAGCGGTAATGTGTCCAGGCAACACACCGATTACAGGGCTCCGGGACACGTGCTCTGTGAGCTGCACACAAGCCATCGATGTGGGCTGACGTACAGGAACATTAGCTTGCATCGGCGCTGCTTCCCCTCTGCCATCTATGTACAATGAGCGGACAGGAAGTGGTTAAAGCAGAACTAAAGACAAATACTTACCTTAGTTCCATCGGTCCGATGTCTGCAAGGTCCCTTGCTGGCGTTTTCTTTTCCTTCTTTTGGGGTGTCGATCCTTGACTGCTGTGGAAGTAGTCATCTCAGCACACTGGCAGCGTTCGAGAATGTAAAACAGGGCTGTGCATATCCAGATCAGTTTACATTCCACAGAGGATTACGAAGAGGCAGGTAGGTGTACTTTATTGCAGAAGACACATTGCATGTCTCTTCTCTAACTAAATGCCTGCCTGTTTGCAGTTGTTTATATTTTACATTTACTTCCACTTTACTAACAGTTTAATTATCTAGGAACTAAAAGGTAATTAAAGTAGAACTATAGGCAACGCTTTTTTATTCATTTTGGATAGAGTGAGGCAGTGTTCCTTAACCTTTTTTTCAGTCAAGGCACCCGTCAAGATTCCGCACAGTCGTGAGGCACCCGTCAAGATTCCGCACAGTCGTGAGGCACCCGTCAAGATTCCGCACAGTCGTGAGGCACCCGTCAAGATTCCGCACAGTCGTGAGGCACCCGTCAAGATTCCGCACAGTCGTGAGGCACCCGTCAAGATTCCGCACAGTCGTGAGGCACCCGTCAAGATTCCGCACAGTCGTGAGGCACCCGTCAAGATTCCGCACAGTCGTGAGGCACCCGTCAAGATTCCGCACAGTCGTGAGGCACCCGTCAAGATTCCGCACAGTCGTGAGGCACCCGTCAAGATTCCGCACAGTCGTGAGGCACCCGTCAAGATTCCGCACAGTCGTGAGGCACCCGTCAAGATTCCGCACAGTCGTGAGGCACCCGTCAAGATTCCGCACAGTCGTGAGGCACCCGTCAAGATTCCGCACAGTCGTGAGGCACCCGTCAAGATTCCGCACAGTCGTGAGGCACCCGTCAAGATTCCGCACAGTCGTGAGGCACCCGTCAAGATTCCGCACAGTCGTGAGGCACCCGTCAAGATTCCGCACAGTCGTGAGGCACCCGTCAAGATTCCGCACAGTCGTGAGGCACCCGTCAAGATTCCGCACAGTCGTGAGGCACCCGTCAAGATTCCGCACAGTCTTGAGGCACCCGTCAAGATTCCGCACAGTCGTGAGGCACCCGTCAAGATTCCGCACAGTCGTGAGGCACCCGTCAAGATTCCGCACAGTCGTGAGGCACCCGTCAAGATTCCGCACAGTCGTGAGGCACCCGTCAAGATTCCGCACAGTCTTGAGGCACCCGTCAAGATTCCGCACAGTCTTGAGGCACCCGTCAAGATTCCGCACAGTCTTGAGGCACCCGTCAAGATTCCGCACAGTCTTGAGGCACCCGTCAAGATTCCGCACAGTCTTGAGGCACCCGTCAAGATTCCGCACAGTCTTGAGGCACCCGTCAAGATTCCGCACAGTCTTGAGGCACCCGTCAAGATTCCGCACAGTCTTGAGGCACCCGTCAAGATTCCGCACAGTCTTGAGGCACCCTTCAAAATTCTGCAGTCTTGAGGCACCCTTCAAAATTTTGCATAATTTTGAGGCATCCATTGCAAAATTTAAAAAACTAAACCAGTTTTAGAAACACACATATAGGACACCCAATGTTAGAGGTGATTTATTCTTTCAAAGCAAATATACCTTTGCACACCGGTACGGACTAGTATTCCAATGTTTTCTCTTCTCTCTCAATTTCTCTCCCTCACTCTGCTAATGTGAACCCAGTGCTGACAGAGAAGGGCAAACATGGGTGCTGTGTAGATGCCCCATGTCCTTATCAACTGATGACATCATTGGTTATATCGCCGGCAGCTAGAAAGTTATAATGGTACACAATGAAAATCTGTGGCTTTGTGTAACTAAAAGGCAGACTTGATCCACCTGCTGGCTTGTATACAGTATTTGGGCAATTTGTAAGCATTTTTCCACGGCTCCCCTGAAGAAACCTGAAGGCAACCTGTTTGAAAAAGACTGAAGTAAGGGGAGGTTATAACCCCTGGCAGTTTATTTTTTTCATTTTTATCCAATAGAGGAGATTTCCCTTCACTTCCGGTCCCACAGCCAAAACAGGATGTGAGATAATCCCTGCAAATTAAGGAAATTCCTTGGAATCTCCCAAGTCACCAGAACTTTTGGAAGATTTCCCCTCCATTACTTTTCTGGGGACAACCCAAAATTTGGGATTTTCTTTTACTTTCAATGATAATGATAAACAGGACAAATAAAGAGAGTGAATCTCCATAACTGGGGCACAGACAGCAATAAAAACCTGACAGGGGTTCAAATCCTTCTACAATCTAAAACTAAAATAAAAGTATACTTCATTTTGATGCTGTAATAGTGTTGCCATCTGAATCTGTTACGTATCAGTACAGCTATTGAAACAGGTGTCAGAGACTTTGTAATGTAACCTTGGATCCTTTAATGTGCCACAATGCCAGAGGAGTTCAGTTAGGGCCGTGGATAAGGGGGTACCACCAGCCATCCTGTACAGGGCCCAGGCAGCTGGGTGAATCAGATGTAGGCAGGTAAAGTGATTCTCACGGTGGGGGTGGCAATTAAACTGAACAGATCCCCTGTATAGTTCTCTTTGTGGCAGCTGAAAGCCGGCTTCTTCTCTCCTCTCCCTCCTGTTAGCTTTCAGATGCTACAGAAAGAGCCTTGCAGGGAATCTGTTCCAGTAAGTGCCCACCATAAATTTTCCCATGCTGTCCAGGCCCCCCCGTGTGACCCCCACCCCTGCAATGCTGCTGGCTCCCCTCTTCTTCCTAGCGGCAGCTGCAAGCACACAGTACGATCCTTCAGGATGGAAAGTGGTGGAAGGGTCCAGTAAATATTAGGGATGCACCGAAACTTTGGTGGCCGAAACGTTTCGGCCTAAAATACCCCTTTCTGCCATCAGCCAATATGAAAAAAAAAAAAAAACGATACAGGTGCTGAAAAAACCTCGCCGCTGTCAACCCACCGCTCGGTAGTTCTCAGCCTCACCTGAGAACCCACTGAACGATCCTGGTGCTGGGCATAGAGATGAGTGAAGGAAAGATGGCCTCCACTCATCTCTATGCCCTTGGAGGACCGGAGGGATGTCACTTCCAGTTCTGGCCA